AGCGATGGCCCCCAACCTAAGAGCGATGGCCTCCAACCTACCTAAGAGCGATCGCCTCTAACCTGCAAGCGATGGCCTCCAACCTAGGAGCGATGGCCTCCAATATACTTTAGGGAGCCGTCCAAGGAAACCCCTTGAGCCGCAGCAACAGATCTGCAACCTTGAACTATTGTAAGGATAGAGGTCTCTACGCTGCTGCTGCACCGCGCCAAAGGGTCAATTGTGGCCTCAACGCACAGCAGCCGAATGAGAAGCATCCAGCCTTTAAAGGGTCAATTCAAGGGTGACTATGAAAGCAGCGTCGTAACTTTGACGAGCGAGTGGGATTACAGTTGGTAGCTTGTCCCATTGCTCATCAGCACTGAAAGTGGACAACTGTGGTGTGCCAAGCAGCACTGGTTATCCTGCCACGATAAGAAACCGAATCGAAGCACGCTTTGCTACAAAACCTTAATCGAAACCTGCGAGCGATCACACCAAGGCAGGATTCTACAGATCATACGTTTTACCAATTCGTGCACCTTCTTGCAGCAGGAACACACTTGCGCAGCAACAAGTCGCCTTGTGGCAAAGTGTGTTACGTAAGAGGAGCATCTCTGATTTCTATTCTAGCACCACCAATCCCTCTTAGTCTGGCTGCTTGGCCCTTGGTTGGGCATGGCTAAGCGTGGCACAATTGAAAGTGGAGCAGCATGTAGGATTATGCGTGTTGCGCGGCTTTCCGCGTCAGGTTTGTAAGGCCCAAATAATACTACAGCGCTTGGCTTTTTCAACATGCAGTTGAATGTTGCACGTGAGAGTGAGAGGGCAAGTGGTCTTTGCCAGGGTCTGCTTGAGCGGTTCTGTGGGGTACTGTTCCCAGAATGCTTGGGTCGGGCTCTTACGGACTGCTCGAGGAAAAGATAGTAGCGATGGCAGGAGCCCCTAGTAGCTTCTTGTTACTACTAGTAAGGCACTTGTTACTAGTAGCGATGCACTTGTTCCTAGTAGCTTCTTGCTCCTACTAGAAAGGCTCCTAGTAGCGTCCTTGCTCCTCGTAGCGATGCCCTTTGCTCCTAGTAGCTTACAGTGACGGTATTGCGCGAGTGACGGTATCGCTGTGTCGGACTGAGATCCGAAATGCAACCTTGCGAGACAATGCCGTTGGCCTAAACTGACAGTGTTTGCGATTGGAAGTTACGTTTTCTCAAATCAATTGGAAGTGGAAGGTCCTAAGGTCCTAGGTTCTGAAACTAGCTGTCAAAGTCAAAGCTGCCAAGATCACGAGCTCTTCAGCAATTGGGCCTGATTCTCGATATGAGGCCGGCTGTTGGGGAAGAAGTTGTGGGAGCATTGATGTTCTTCCATGTGACTATTGTGACTGCAAGATTCCATGAGTTTGCGAGTGTGAACGTGCGAAGACGTAGCTTCGGGCACTTAAGGGGGAGAGAGAGAGAGGGGGCTTGGGTCTCATGCTGTCGTGGGCGCAGTAGAAGATGATTTTCATTACTATCTACGATACTTGTAAGAATTTATTAAAAAGCTTTTTGTTACTACTAGTAGCTTTTTGTTATGCCAGGAGCCCCTAGTAGCTTCTTGTTACTACTAGTAAGGCACTTGTTACTTTTAGCGTGGCACTTGTTCCTAGTAGAATTCTAATTGATTTTCATTGATTTCGGTTTGGGTTTTGTTGCTTTGATGACATCAGCAGTTTCACCGGAACTGGTAGACCATGGTGCAACTTGTCGCGGCGTCAAAGTGTGGTGTGTTTGTCACTTTCCCTTTGTCGATTCATCCCCCGAGTTTTCCCATGCGATCGACAGCCTCTCAAAACGCCACAGCTTTGACCTTTACAACACGTGTTTTAAGACATATGCTTGGCAACATATGCTGCATATGGGTGCTTCGACATGCAAAAAGATCATGCTACTGTATCGACCCCATCATGTGAAACTTGTGACTGAACGGGGCGTACTTGGCGAGCATGGTGGGTTGTCAAGCGTCTCTGGCCAAACCATGGTGCACAGCTTCCCACAGACATCCGCCGCTATCCAAATCATTGAGTTTAGTAGCGTCCTTGCTCCTAGTAGCGATGCCAGGAGCCCCTAGTAGCGTCCTTGCTCGTATTATGAGGAATACACAAGACGGATGATTCTTCAGGCGCAGAAACTCTCCGGACTGAGTCCACATTTTGCTCATTTATGATGGCTTTTGCTTAAGTATGTCAGAAGTTGCGAGGTTATGGCAGACCTGGGTTTCAGGCGCACCTAACATAATCCTCTACTAGCTTGCTGGCATGATCCTTTCAAGGCTAGGATGACTTTTGGGCATCCGGCAAAGCCATGCAAAGCCGGGTATCAAGGAACATGCAGATGCCATGCATGAAAGGTCCGCCAGCTTTCATTTCTGTTGCCTCTTGGTCTCTCCTCCTCCCTACGGCATTTTTTAAATATGTATCCGATTTTATCCACCCTCTTCTTCCGGCTTGTTCCATCACTTTCTTTGAGGGTTCCAAAAAGAGAAGATATTAATTAATGATGAGACGACAAGGGTTTATGAAGATGCCTTTTTGAAAAAAACAAGGCCATCGTTTTTGCAGTCAGACTGCTTGTCCACGAACATCTGTGTTAGTTTTGGTGTTAGTCTTGAAGGAGTCGAGTCTTTATTGCATTGTGAGATGTTTCCATTTAAGACGCAGTCGGGTTGAAGTGTCCAAACAAATGAGCAGGTGCTTTATTCTTGTTCGGATTCATTTATTTTCTTGACAATTGTATGTATGGAAACAATAATTGATGTTGATAGTGCATGTCGACCCAAATTGCATATTTTGCATCACCTCCTTTAGTTGATCCAGCCGTAGTATGCCGCACCAGCTTTTTTGCAGCTATGTGCGCCGCAAACAAGATATTTACAAGGCCACAAAACATTGTAAATTACAGGAGCAAGAATGATACTAGGGGCTCCTGGCCTTACTACTAGGAACAAGGACGCTACCAGGAGCAAAGGGCATTACTACTAGGAGCAAGAACGCTACTAGGGGCTCAGTTGTTTGGAGATTGGTTGGCAGCCACGGGCACGCTTAACTGCTGGGCTGAAACCCCAGCCCCTCCAGAGGACATGGGTGCGGGGATTTCCTGCTTTGGGCCTGTAGACATGTCTTTTTGCCTTCCTTGCTCTCTTCCATCTTTCTGTTTCATTCCATGGGGCAAGAGCTTCAGAAAAGAAAACGTGGAGTAGATTAGTTTTTCATTCACACGCCGTTTTAAAGCGCTGTCAGCGTCTAAGCCTTTGAGTTTGCGCGTTTCTTTTGTGCCACTTGAGAGTTCTTTCGGGTTGCCAGCGTGGGCGTGACCTGAAATGCTTGGGTTTTGTTTTTTCTGCAAGAGTCCTTTCCTTAAGACGTCTTTCTACAAGACTTTTCTGCAAATGTATATGAAGTCAAACAAGTTTTGGGCTTGCATCCTCGTAGGCAGTCTTGGATGCGTGTGCCTTACGCGCGGACTTGGATGCGCTGATCCTCAGGGCGCAGCAAATCCACAGAAATGCAGGAGCAGGCTACAGGAGTTGCTAATTTATGAGGTAAATCAACTAGATGTGTGCCAGAGGGTGTGCGAACAGCTGTGAGGTCTTGCCTGAGGGCGATCAGACTTCGATTGGCGACCGTGGCATCAATCTGTCAGGTGCTCTGCGTTGGAATGGAGGTAGCATACAGCTACTAGTAGCTTCTTGTTCCTAGTAGTAAGGCCAGGAGCCCCTAGTAGCGTCCTTGCTCCTAGTAGTGATGCCCTTTGTTCCTAGTAGCTTCTTGTTCCTAGTAGTAATGGCTAGCGATGACCTCCACCTAGTAGCGTCTTTGTTCCTAGTAGCAAATAGCGGGTAGTTTTGGCCCGCTTGAAAGGCTCTTCAAAAGGGGTGTTTCTCTTTTTGCCCGAAAGCCTTCCTTAGTCTTAGCTGGGTGTTGACAGCGGGATCGACGACATCTCTGATACCCGGCCATTGGAGGCGGGCAGAAGCAACGCGTGGCTTTGGCGCGTGCTGTTTATGCCAACCCGGACCGCAGATGCGTTCGATGGCCTCCAACCAAATTGCAAATGCGTTCCATGTAAGGTTTCAAAAAGAGCAGAGTGACACGAGTGGGGCCACGGTCAACAAGTTATTGATCCTTTGACAGACGTGCAACAGAAGGGGGAGAAACCCAAGAATCCTGCTGTTGCCTGTTCAGTCGAGGACATCTACATTTTGGACGTCGTGACCTGAGTGTTGTTCTACTGTATGGAGGCCATTGCTCTTAGTAAGAATTCCTTAGTAAGAGTATGGTCTGTCGTCGGACTAAGGATGTGCTGTCCGCTCTAGACAGTTGCTCACCAAGATTGATAAGTTCCTGAGACCGGCTATAAGTCCTGAGGGTGACTTGCAAATCAGTCTTGGCGATGCACTTTGCTCCGTTCGTAGCGAACCTTGTTCCTAGTAGTACGGCCAGGAGCCCCTAGTAGCGTCCTTGCTCCTAGTAGCGATGCCCTTTGCTCCTAGTAGTGCACTTGTTACTACTGTAGTAGCGATGCCGTGAGCGATCAGGTCATGTCACAACCCACATTTGCAACAATCTTCTTCGTGGACCGCTGCTGGCGAAGGTCTCAGATCGCGTGACCAGTGCAGGCGTTGACTTCCGCTGCGCTGCAGGGGGAGCTGCCTTGAAGGTGGTTGAAACCCGATTTGGACGTGATTTGAGTTTTTTCTTCGCCGTCACGCCCACTTCACCTCGCTGCTATGGAAATCGACGTTTAGCGTCGAACCTTTGCTTGACCCTCTCCGACTCTTCATGCAGACGCGGCTCAGTAGATTGAAATTGGTCACACCATCTTCAAGAAATTGCGAGGTCTGGAAATAGGATGCTGTTTTTGCCTTCCCAATGTCTGCCTAAGTCTTGGGATTGTCACTTGGCTTCGCATTGTCCAAATCCGTCTCAAGATTGGCTGAATCCCTGTCCGTTCATCATTGAAACGCTAGAGAGGTTCAAAAATGGATTCCGGTCTTTTGGTGGTGCAGCATGTTAAACAAAGAGAGGGGAGCGCTGTGAGCGGCGCTTTTTTCGATGAACATGAGCATTTTTCAACTTTTTTCATGCGTTTTCTTGAGAATGATTGATGTGTCTGACATTGCCTGGAAGGATCTGTCTGTTAGCATTTGTCATCCATCAAGGATTCAGGAAATGCCATTTGTAGCATTCGTCTGCTGTAGTAAACTCCGCCATGCAGTCTGAAGATATGACGTATAATGATTTGCATGAGGTTGTCAATGGCTCATTTGCAGGAGCATCGCTCCCATGTCGCTCCCTCTTCAGCCATGCGGCTCCTTCAACATCCTCACCTTCCCTATGAAGGAACTGAACGGAGGGGAAACAAACCTGGTCCATGCCTTTGACCTCATCCAGAACTTTCAGGGCGACATCAACTTTTCTGACCTCAGCACTAGCTACAAACTGGCATGCGAAAGCAAGGATTTGCAGTATCTTCCCGCCCCTTTTGGTCTGAAGGTTGAAGTCCCCAAGGAAACGACCATCCAAGTCGCCATCATCAAAAACTCCGAGGGTGAAGCCACTATCTTGAAGCATTTGGCCTTTCCGGGAAAAATCAAGGCAACCTTCTTCAAACAGCTCATCTACGGTGAGGGCTTTCAATCTATGTGGATGCAGCCTTTCCCCAAAGGTGGCAGGAAAATCTTGCAGTACTGCCTGGAGAACTTGGGTGGGCGTATCTTCAAGTTGAGCTCACTTCCCAGGCAAGTCGCAAAGGCCCAAAGCCCGACAGCAGCTTTGAGGAGAAGGACGATGATGACATCGATGCGGGCTTTGATCATATTCTCAAGATGGTCCCTCGCTCATCTTGTGAAATGGCCCAGCTCCGTTGGCAGACTAACGAACTTCGCAACAAATCGTCTCCAATCGTTGGCTGGCCTGTAGCGTTGGTTAGTCAAGCTCTTCGGAACTTGGCTGCCGACGGAGCTTTAGCCCGCAAAGAGCATCATTGGCAATTACCACTCACGCCAAATACTTCTGCGCGGAAGTTTTGAAGGCTTTGGAAGCCATTTGGGACTTTGACCAAGCTTCCTTGGTCATGCTCGGAGAGCCCGGTGGAGGGAAAAACCCATTGGGCAGAAGTGTCCTGTTCGCACAGTGCCGCCACAACCTGGAGAGGTTCCAGGTCCAGGGGCAGCTTTGCATTCGCTGCACTCCGGAATTTGATTTTCTTCGCGGCGAACCAGGATCTGTACTTATGGGGGATTTCCTGGACGACACCGCCCTGAACCTTCTGAGCATGAAACTTGTCAAACACAGAAAAAGTATCTTGCACCTGTCAGCAAGTCATGCAGTTTCAAAAACGCATTCACCTGCATGTGTTTGCGTCGCAGTGCAAGGCTTGAACAATTTCACTTCCAAGGAAATTGAAAAACTTAAAATATCCCAGGACAGCACACAAATCCAAAATTCCAATTTTATAAAATTCCAATATTCCAAAAAACAAAAATAAAGTTCTGCACAGACCATGGGGGGAAGAGGGGGTGAGGCAAAGTCCTGGCACAGTTGTTTTTTTGGGCTAATCTTTTAACAATTAAAATGTTGGAACATTGGAATTTTGGAAATTGCCTTTGGGGGAGGGGGGGGTTGAGGCAGAATAGGATTCTTTCAGTGGCACAAAAATGAATAGAAGCACAATACACATATAGAAACAAAATGCAAACAAAATGAAACAATGCAAAAACGCGCCGCTCAGAGCGCTCCTTTCTGTAAACAAATCATTGCTTTTACCAACGCAAACCAATCTGAACAAAAAGTGATCCGGATTCCAATCCTACGGATTTTCTAAATGCACCTGGGACACCTCCCTGTGCCAACAAATTGAAAGGTCTTCATCCATTTCAACCCGAAGTTGTCTTTTGTAGTTCTAATCGCAGCTTAGCCCGAGCAGTTCATGTCGATCCTAAAGGTTCCAAGTGCTTTTGGGGGACCACGGAAACTCGGAGCGTGGTTTTGCTTAGGTAGATCAATATGATTGCATTTCCACTGACCTAGTAGCTTCTGGTGTCGCGAAAACAGAGCGCGGAGTGTGAAGATGTGTGATGTGTGCCTGGAAACCCTCCTTTTGTGGCTGTGCGTGTGAAGTGGCATGTGAGTTTTTGAGGCTGGGAAAACTGTGGTCCTCGTCACGTGCAAAGCCTAGCAGTTCAAAGGTCTGATTGCGTAGTAGCCAAGCCGAAAAGCGGCTGTGTAGCTTTTTGCTAGTAGGTTGAAGGCCATCGCTAGTAGGCTGGAGGCTATCGCCGATCGCTATTAGATTCCTTTTGCTCCTAGCTTGGAGGCTACCAGGCTATGTGTCTTTAAGTACTTTCGCATTTCGGCAAGGCACTCGCCCAAAGCAGTGCCGTTGGCCACGCGGGTGATGTGCTTGGAAGACAAGAAGGTGTGATGGTCACGGGTGAAACAGTAAAGGGGCACGTGAAGCAATCATATGTATTCATTTGTCACATGTTTTGTTTCATCTGAGAAAGTTCTTTTAGAGCCTTCGCTGCAAGACACGTTCAGCATCGGAATGCCTTTCCAATTTCATTATGTTTGTAGTTTTCTTTGTGTTTGCTTGTGTTTTCCACTTTTTCCATCATTTTCATCACTTTGGGTTGCAGGTGACCTTCAACGGGACTTACGAGGACAAAGCTTTGGAACGCTTTTTCCACCAACCCAATGAAGGGTCTATTGTACTCCTCTGGGTGACTTGTAGTCACTCCATTAAGGAAATGGTATATGATTGGTATGATTTAGCTTGTATTGTAGTAGCGTCCTCTTGCTCCTAGTAGTAAGGCCAGGAGCCCCTAGTAGCGTCCTTGCTCCTAGTAGCGATGCCCTTTGCTCCTAGTAGCGTTCTTGCTCCAGATGTGAAAGCTGAATTGACTTTGTGTCTTTGATATTCAGGAGTTCAAAGGCTCTGGAGCAGTGAGCGACGATGCGTCTCGTCTAGTGATTGTGAATTGCACCAGACCGACGCGACCGACGCGGCTCGAATACACGTGGGCCTATGTGATCCATGACGAGCCAGAGAGTGAAGAAGCTCTGAAGGCTGTCAGTGTGCCAGTTGGGCTTTGGTGCTTTGGTGCTGGCTTCCCCACTGAGGAACGACAAGTGTCTGAAAAAGGAAAGGAGGAAAAGAAGGAGGAGAAGGGAAAAGAGAAAGGTTCTGCAACATCACCAAAGAAGGAACCGGCCTCAGTTGAAGATCGAGCGGTTGATATTAATTCTTTAGCAGCTTCTAGGAGCAAGGACGCTACTAGTAGCTCCTGGCCTTACTACTAGGAGCAAGGACGCTACTAGGAACAAAGGGCATCGCTACTAGGAGCAAAGGACAACACCAATTTCTTGAGTTACATGTCGTAGCCCATATGAGTTTGATGCTTCATGCTACTCGACTTATGTGACAACTTTGAAGTTTCTAGAATGCTTGTTCACACTCCCCGTGCCTTTTTGAAAGGTACTTTGCAAAAGGTGAAGCACATATAACAAGAAGCGGCTACTAGGGGATCCTGGCCTTACTACTAGGGGCAAAGACGCTACTAGGGGCTCCTGGCCGTACTACTAGGAACAAGAAGCTACTAGTAGCTAGTAGCTATTAGGGCAGACCTCACAGAAAGCGAGCCTACAGCACCTTCCGGTACACTCGTACACAATGACCTTTATTGGCTTTTCCAACCTACTAGCGATGGCCTCCACCCTAATGGTACACGCGTACATGACTCGTACACGATGGCCTACAAATGTACTTGCTGTGCTAGTCTGGAATGAACTGCTCTGTGGTGTGTTTGCCAGTTCCACGCAGCACAAACGCATGCAGTGCACACACACACACACACACGTATATTACACATGTTGCAGTTAGTCAAAGCACTCTAAACTGATAAGGAAGAAGAGACGAAGATAGCATCAAACGGGACATATATAGAGTTTAAACAACCTTGCTGGCTTTTGGATGTCTAGGTTTTGAGTTGGGGACAATCGTTTTTCGCTCTCCAGGCGTCTGCAGCACCGCAAGAGGAGCGCCGCTCAGGAGCTGTCAGTTGGCAAGTCTATGGCGCGCCGGGTCCTCAACTAGATGGAGCCCCTAGGCCCTAGTAGCGTCCTTGCTACTAGTAGCGATGCCAGGAGCCCCTAGTAGCGTCCTTGCTACTAGATGGAGCGGACTGTTTGTCTCAAGGCCTTAGAACCCTTTTGTTTCTTTACCCGGGAGCGTTTGCGAAAGGGTTCTTCCATGGAAAGGGTTGCGGTTGCCATCGTAGTCGTAGTATGTCGTAGTCGTTTTTTGAATTCGCGAATCTGTCTCAACCAATTTGGGGCCAAAACCAAAACAGTCGTGCGATGTCTCACGCTTAACCGTGGTAGCTTGGAAGAGGCAGAGTCAAACCGTGCAGTTTCCTCCCAGTACCTGAAAGGTTTCAAGGTCAAAAGAGATTGTCCTTGCTCCTAGTACCGATGCCCTTTGCTCCTAGTAGCAAGAATGCTCCTAGTAGTAAGGCCAGGAGCCCCTAGTAGCGTTCTTGCTCCTCATTCCTCAGACATGTTTGCCATGTTTGAGGTATGCCAAAGCTTGTGGAGGATGTCCAACTGTCGGCACTTTTCTTCTTGCGGTCGCAATTTCAGAGGTGGCGGGGGAACACAACTGGATTTGAAACGTAATGATTCCTGAAAGTGTTATTTTTTCATTTTTATTGTTATGCTCCTGATTTCTTTCTTTGAGATGTGAACGGAGACGTTCCAAGACCGGGTGTATCAAACAGTGGTGCCCACTTTCTCTTGTTTTTGCAATGATATTGACAAAACCATGGTTGCAAGAAGCTACTAGGAGCATCGTTTCACTGGGAATCGTTTCACCTGTAGTAACAAGAAGCTACTAGGAACGATCTTTGAAGCTACTAGGAGCAAGAACGCTACTAGGATCAGAAGGCGGCATTCGCTTTTGTTCCTCTCGCGTTACCGCTGTTTCCAGGGCTCGAGGAACTTCTCCGATGGCTGGTTGGCGCATTGGAGTGGTACTGGAGGCAGTGCGGATGGAATCACGGTCTATGCGTTGGCCGCTTTGGTTTGCCTCGCTTGGGCCTCAACTCTTTGCTCTAATAAGGCCAGGAGGCCCTAGTAGCGTCCTTGCTCAGGTAGCGAACCTTGTTCCTAGTAACGTAACGATGTTTGTGTTCTTTCTCTGCATTTGCTTTGCGTTTCTTCTTGCTTTAGGTTTCAACTTTGCCCTTCGCAAACTTTCAGGTTACAGGCCTTCTTTACTCGACCACCCGGGTTTTGGTGGGCCAGCGCGGGTGACAGACTCGGACTGGCTGAAGATTGTCACCAAACTGTTTGTCAGCGACCCTAACATCTGAACGATGAAAAAGATGTGAACAATACCTTCCCGGTTCAATGAACCTAGCCCGCAGGGCTTCAAAACAAGAAAAAAGAAACCGCGGGGCTTGTATAGATTAACGTGGATTCATTCTACGTCATCCATTCATATTCGCTTCGAGGGAGGTCTGCTGAAGTTTTCATTTGCAGGGAGAGGCCCAGAAGTGATAGTTCCAAAGGATTGAATGTATAAAGTATATATATATATAGATATACTGCATATTAAATTTGCATTGTTTCGTTTATTTTGGCCCGCTCCTACTGAATTAAGAAGGCGCCTAATCAAATAGGCAGAAGTTTGCCACTAGCTACTTAACCTACTAGATAGCTCACGCCTCTTCAAGGAAGCTCCCCCCGCCTGAGGGCAGGGGAGAGCTTCCTTGAAGAAGCGCTCGGACTAATCATTTGGTTCCTAGATTTGTAGGGAAACTGAACCAGGAGCCCCTAGTAGCGTCCTTGTTACTACCAGTAATGCACTTGTTACTAGAAGCGATGCACCTGTTCCTAGTAGCTTCTTGTTACTACTAACTACAAAAGGCCTCACCCTTTGCGTGATAGAATCCGTTCGACCCCTTTACGAGTTGGTTTCATACTGATTTAGCAGGGGGTTCCCTCGGTTAGGACATGCTACGACACGCACACGGTCACACGGGCTTAACGAAGCGAAGGCCGAAGGCTGCTCCAGATTAGTATTGCCTTGCATATCCACGCTTGCGTCTTGTTGATGGTTTCTAGAACTTAGGGCTGTTCTCTCGCTTGCTTTCCCACTTCTTACAGTGTTTTGCAATTTGAGGTCCAGAGTCTTGCATGAAAAATGTCTGCACGCTTTGCTACGAGCTCATATGCGCGGGGCCACAGCGGCTGCAGCTAGTCGTTCTGCATTGATTTGCATGTGTGAAGTGTCCTTGTTTGAGCAGAATTTGATTTTGGATTTCTAACCCTTCTGCTTTGACAGGTCTTTCTTTGACCTGACCCCAAATGGTCAGATTCTGAACCGCTTAGCTGAGGATGCTTGCTTTGAGCATCTTGCATTCCTGTCAGCATTTGTGTGTGTACCCTTCCTCTGTACGCTCAGCGCCAGCGAGAGCAGTGCATCGCATTGGCAGGACACCAATATTCTGGACTACAACTTGCCCCAAACGATGTCTGCAAACATCATTTGGTCCTTCTCGCTTGTGCGATTAACCCAAGCAAGTCCAGGCCATCGCTAGTAGGTTGGAGGCCATCTCTATTAGGTATTGCTTCTAGGTTGGAGGCCATTGCTTGAGACCTTTCGACTTTATCGTGGCCAGGTTCTGGCGTGCTGCCAGCATCGTTGTGGTGTGCATGGTGGTTGGTTGGTGCCCCTTGATATGGACAGGACAGGGCAAACAGGACAAAACAGGATTGCTAGCCGGCGACTTGGAATGCTACAGAAATCGTGGAAATTTCTCAAATCCTTAGGAACCCTAGGCCTAGTGACAGAGAACCGTTTCGAAAAGGGGAAAACAAGGAAAACTCCTTCCTTGCTACGACGCATTTCCTATGACAGTTGCCAATAGCGATAGCTTCCAACCTAATAGCGAAGGCCTCCAGCCTAGAAGCGATGACCTCCAACCTAATAGACTGGAAGCATTAAGATCATTTAACTACTAACTAGCTCCCTCCTAACCCCTCCTGCTCAACGGTCTAGCGCCCCTTTACAGAGGACAAGGGACAACGCAAAGCCGCAGTGTGGATGGAGGTATTTGATCTTCTTGATGCTGCCAATGTTCCTCTTGTATGCTCGTTTGGCCAAGAGGCGGGCCCCTTCAGACAAAGGCTTTTGGAACTACCTGGGACGAGTTTTCGAGCACTTCTCTTGTTCACTCCAGTTCTGTTTTCTTCTCGAATGCGGCGTTTTCGTTTTTATCCTTCTGAAAACTGAACTGTTTCGTTTTTCTCTTTCTCTTGTTCGCGACATCTATATTCGTTGCACTTTCGCTGAAGAGAACCTCTCTGGTGACCTTTGTGAGCTCTTGAAGGTATCTACCAGCCACACGCGACTTGCGACGGCTGGATGCAGCTGGTGACCAAGTCTTCACTTGGCACCTGATAGCTACTAGCCACTAGTCGCTTCTTGTAATTAGTAGTACGGCCAGGAGCCCCTAGTAGCGTCCTTGCTCCTAGTAGTAAGGCCAGGAGCCCCTAGTAGCTTCCCTAGTAGCTGCTTTGTTTGGAATTCATAGCGCCGTTTGGACCATCTTCAGGCTGCTCGGAGTCCCATCTTCAGCCACTTCTCGGAGTCCATGCAAGGCGTGTCAACGATCCGAGCTATGCAGCAGCAGGAGCCGATGCGAAGCGCGAAGCGTTGCAGAGCTGTGATGCTTTGGTGTTGGGTCTGTTCTATTACCTGTAACAGTCAGTAAACAATTATCACTATTTTTGAGCAAGGCTTTTACTAACCATCATCCACTGTTACAGGTATTAGGATAGACCCAACTTTGTGTTTAGAGGGGGGCCGGTAAGAGGAGGTAGCAGAGTAAGTAGTTAGCTAAAGTAGGTAACTTAATAGCAATGCCCTCCTAATAGCAATGGCCTCCAACCTAATAGCGACGGCCTCCAACCTACTAGCAATGGCCTAAGTGGCGGGTAGTTTCCTTGGGAGAACCCCTCGGATGATTGGTTTTGTTTCTAGATTTCTTTTTTGAAACTTCAGCATTGAGTAGACACTATGCTACACACAATGGCCTTTTGCATGCCTTCTTGAAGGATCAAGCTCTCCATACAAACATCAGCAGGCGTCCCGTTTTTATTTTGGAGGCCATCGCTAGTAGGTTGGAGGCCATTCCTATTACTGTAAGTCATTAAGTTGGAGGCCATTCCTATTAAGTTGGAGGCCATTGCTGTTTAAAGTTATTTTGTTCGAATTTGCATTTGCACAAGACATTATGCGAAGCTGCTTGAAGGCTGGAGACGCAGATGGAAGCTTACTACCTCAGCAATACGGCTGTTGCTTGGTGCTTTTTCCTTTTTCTTTTTTGGGCAGTAGATAAAAAAAAATTAAAGAAATAAAGCAAGAACATATCAAAAGGACAACAACATACAAAAAGAGTCAAATTTGTCTTGTACATACATATATATATATATAGATACATTACGTGACATGACATTACATTATATCACATTACATTACATCACATTACATTACATAACGTACATACATACTCTCAACAGATTTGTAGCGCCTTCAACAGACAGTCCACAGTCCTCAAATCTGTATTGATGACCTCGCCAACGAAAGCTATCCAAGGACGAAATCCGGTATGATAGTTGATGCCCACACCAATCCCTGCGGACAAGACTCTACCCCCAGATTCCCAAAGTTAAACGAGAACCCTTCGCTATGTATGCAAAAGCTATTTTAGAAACACGGCAACCTTGCCCTGAGCCCAGAAGCTACAACTCATCAGCAATGACCGGCGCTTTGCGAAGGGTATGTCCACTGCTTGCTTAAATACATTTTCTTGTTTACTTTGGAAAAGCATTCTCTTTGCTCTCTTTGCTGGTCAATATTCGCTTGGTTTGCGTGTTTTTGCATGAGCTATGCGCTTCCAACATCATTCAAGCGCCGCCCAACACGAAAATGCCAAAAGACATGTACTGTAAAACAGGAAACATCCCAGCACTCACTGGTCCACAAAAACATGGAAATCACGTTTCCGGAAGATGACTGTGCACATCTGAGGCTCGCTGGCTAAGTCTCCGGCTGCAATTCAATGGCACCATCTTAGTGTGCTCCTGAAGAACTGAAGCGATGGCCTCCAACCTTAAAGGAATGGCTTCCAACCTTTAATTGTTAAAGAGGCCAAAGTGATCCGGAAACAAAGAACAAGTATTGAACCAAGATCCACGGGTGAACCACTGGTTGCCATGATTGCAATTTCTTAAGGTGGGCGCAGTCAGCATCCTTGGCATTTTCTTGTCAACCGGCCCAAACAAGGCATGGTGCTCGACCGAGTTTGCTTGATTGTTTCAACATAATTTTAAAGCCTTCCAAAGAGCTGGATTTGTGTTTTTGTCAGTGTGTTTCATGTTTGAATGCAGCTGACCGCTGCGGCCCATGAGTTTGCCTTGGTGGGAGGCCAGTGCTGGCTTAATAGGCTTGGCCATCACCTATTCGCTGCGACTCACTGACACACTCAACCAGGCAGATTGTGTGCACAGCCGTGGTCAGCTCTTTGTCACCTTCCAAAGCAACGATGGTCAGGGCACGCGTTGGAAAGCAGTGTCCAATAGAACACAATGTGAGTGAGATATGAATGCAAAGTCCGACGTAATGACTGCATGCCGAATTGAAGATGGTGCCATCTCTTCGCTGCTACTAGGAGCAAGGACGCTACTAGGAGCAAAGGGCATCGCGCAAGAGATCTTGCTAAATTTGGCAAGAAGAGACGCACAGGAACGGATTCGTCACTGCATCGGCCTCCAACCTAAGAGCTTCTAGCTACAAGTAGTTTCTTGTTCCTAGTAGTAATGGCCTCCAACCTAATAGTAATGGCCTCCACCTACTATCTACATGAGACAGATCAAAGTAAGAAAGAACAAGACAAATTGGAAAAACACAACTCGGACCCTGAGGCCGTAGCGGTAGCTACTAACCACTAGACTCGTGCTGCTGCCAGGTTGATCCCTCAACAGTCCAAAGACAAAACGGAACAAGCCTCAACCACCAACCAACCTAGGAGCAAGGACGCTGCTAGTAGCTCCTGCCCTTACTACTAGGAACAAGAAGCTACTAGGAGCAAAGGGCATCGCTACTAATAGCGATGGCCTCCAACGGATCACCGACCCGTTCATCAATCAACTCAGTCGTGGGATCAACCCAGCATCCCGGCCGGTAGAGGAATGTGGCCACGGACGTAACTATTCCTACACTCCAAAAAACAACATCCGACCAAGAATTGTCGGTGTCATTCTGCTTTGCTCTTTTTCTCCTATCCCTGCAGCTACACTCTAGCCTTCTGCATCTAACAAGAGTTGGACACAAATGATGACCTGAATGGAGTGTGTGGCGAGAAACAGCTTGGCGAGACGGCGAAGACATGCGAAGACCCCAAAGTAGCAAGGCCAATGGGTGACTCAACCGCGGTTTGTCGCACATAGACTGTGACCCGCAAACGCTAACAGGATCAAACAGGCTCATCAATTCCACAACAACGACGATTGTCCACGTATGTCCAAGTCTTTCCACCTTCCGTTTGCGGTATTTGTGACGTCCCGTTTTGTAGCTGTATCTTTATAATAGTAAGGGCTCCGCCCTGGTGCCGCCGACCCCTTTTCTTGGGGGAGGAGCTGGAAGACCAGAAGCCGGACAGGGATTGCTATAAGCATACACCGGCTATGTGCTCAAGACTCTGTATTCTTGATTCCTTTTACCCGGGCTTAGGCTACACTACGGACGCGCCAGTGTATGCACAGTCCTTGTCAGGAAAGCTGAGATGAGCTGTGTGCCTGAAACCTTGACATATCACACTGGTGGTGCTTGCTGCCGGCGGCGCTGCTATAACCATACACCGGCTATTTCCTCAAGACACTCTATTCTTGACACCTTTTACCAGTGCTTATCCTACACTACGGACGCCCTAGTGTATGCACAGTCCTTGTGATGCTTACCCCTCGTTCCGGCTGAAGGCATAGATAAGCGGGGGGTAAATCGACCCCCCAGATTTGCCATCCCAAGTCCTCCCGAAACCATTCTCAGCATGAACTCTCATTTCAGGACCATACTGACCCAAAGGAAAGTTCCAAGACCACTCTCAGGACGGTCTTTCGTTACAAGGGGGCTGGGTGCACCATCACAAGGACCTTTTTTCCACATCAGAGCGTGTTCTAGCGCATCCACCAACACATCATCACGCTCAGGATGTCCATCTCATCATGCATTCGCAAGTTGATGTAACCTTGGCGATGCACGGAGTTGTTCCCCAGTCACATCTGACATCTAGATTTAACATATGCTTCAAAAAACGATTGCAAAAAAGAGGTCAAAAGTTATGACTGACGCTGAGATTGGCAGCCCCATGTAGAAACGAGGGAGCAACACTTGCTCCACATAGTTTTTGGAACAGGCATTGGCAAGGTCCGACACCTTCCCCACAAAATCTTCACTTTTGAACCCGTGGTAGAACCTGCTGTTTTCTCCTTATCATGTTGGCAACGAGTGAATCGCAATAGACCCTTTGGACTTTAGAAAATACCTCGCCTCAGACCACCCATCCCTTTCAAGAGCTTCAGTCAGAGGTGCAAAGGCTGTTGAAGATATAACCAAGTTTCTTTCGCTTTCTTCAGCGTGTAGGATTTCTTGGAAAGCCTAGGTGTCCATGGACTGTTTTAATGCAGGAAACATGAACAGCCAAACATTCTCAATCTATCAGTTTAACTGCTAGATCAACGATCATGAGCCATGATAAGCCAGGGCAGTGAGCCCAAACCGGATGTTCCATTCAAGTCACATGGAACTTTGGTTTGGTGGGCCACCGCAGAAGTCCAGCTTGGATGGCAAGGCCAGCAAGTTGACAATAGGCCCTCATGCGACCATCCTAAGTGGGAGGCTTGTTGGAGAATATATTTACCCTTGCAGCTTTCCTTTAACTAACAAAACTCTGTTTAAACATGAAAACAAGACATGCGTCACCAAGCCCATAGAAAAAGCTTTCTGGGCCAAGCTGCGGCATAGAAAAAGCTTTCTGAGCCAAGCTGCGGCCTTTGTTTGGCCAGTGCAGGAGTGATGCCGACGCAGTAGGGCTTTGAAGGCGGGGGTGGCTGCTTAACGTGGCGTGCTGGGGCTTTCGTTGCCTGGGACAGGCCAAGAGAAGAGGCACGCCTGCCAGCTGCCGAGAGGGGTTTGGGGGCGGGGCCCGTGGGTCTCTAACGTTGCCTTCGGAAGCCTATAGAAAAAGCTTTCTGAGCCAAGCTGCGGCCTGCACTGCCAGCTGCCGAGAGGGGTTTGGGGGCGGGGCCCGTGGGTCTCTAACGTTGCCTTCGGAAGCCCATAGAAAAAGCTTTCTGGGCCAAGCTGCAGCCTGCAGGAACGTTTGCGGGCGGGGCCCGTGGGCGAAGAGAAGAGGCAGGCCCATAGAACAAGCTTTCTGGGCCAAGCTGCGGCCTGCAGGAACGTTTGCGGGCGGGGCCGGTGGGCGAAGAGAAGGGGCAGGCTTCGGAGAGGCCGCGGCAGGCCTGCCGGCTGCCGAGGAGGGTTTGAGGGCGGGGCCCGTGGGTCTCTAACGTTGCCTTCGGAAGCCCATAGAAAAAGCTTTCTGGGCCAAGCTGCGGCGTAGAAAAAGCTTTCTGAGCCAAGCTGCGGCCTTTGTTTGGCCAGTGCAGGAGTGATGCCGACGCAGTAGGGCTTTGAAGGCGGGGGTGGCTGCTTAACGTGGCATGCTGGGGCTTGCGTTTGCACTGGCCACCCGTTCCACCCTCCGGTGTCCCTGGCGCCGCCCCGCTTAGGCAAGGGCTAAGCAGGGGTCGGCGGATTCTCTTAAAAGACCTTTCCGTGTCCAAAGATTGATTTGCTGTTTTCGGGTGTATGCTGATTCGCCATCCGGTTGCGTTTGCTTCGGACAGGTCAACAGAGAGAGCGCTGACCGGGAAACACAGATGGTATCGGTTGAGCGTGTGCAGAATTATGTGACCAATGTCAAGCAGGACAGGGTTTCATGGTTCGCTATTAGTAACAAGTGCATCGCTACTAGTAACAAGTGCCTTACTAGTAGTAAGAAGGTTCGCTTCTAGTAACAAGTGCCTTACTACTAGTAACAAGGTTCGCTATTAGGTTTCATCGTTCATTAAGACAACGAACATCATTCTGCAAGAGAACCCAGAAAGTGTTTGTAAGATGACTGACAGAGAAATGCAGGAAAAGGCATTGCGGGTTCGAGATTCAGTCGGGCCATCTTGGCCAAGTCTGAAACTTTGATCTGGCGATTTAATTCACTGGGAGCCTTCTCTCTTGTCGGCAAAGAGATGCTTTGTACCGAGGTCAGGGTAACATCCAAGTTGAGAACGCCGCCATCTCAGCTCATTTCATGTCTCTCTCGTGTTCTCAGTGCCCACCGTTTTTGGTCCAGGTCAGGATGCGGTATCGCGATGGTCTTCCCATTGCCGTCCTCTTAGGGCAGTGTTTTCCCTCTTCTGACTTGCAGTTGCGCCAAACGACTGCAGTAACAAGAAGCTACTAGGAGCAAAAGGGCATCGCTACTAGGAGCAAGGACGCTACTAGGGGCTCCTGGCCTTACTACTAGAAACAAGAAGCTACCAGGAGCAAACAACCAGTAACTGAAGAACCAAATTGGCCTCCACCCTAAGAGCGATGGCCTCCACCCTACTAGCGATGGCCTCCACCCTAGAAGAGCCAGTGTTAAGAACCAGTTGACAGGTGCTTGACGGCATTTCCCTTGATATCAAAGTGAAGAGCTTAAGTTCGCAATGAAAACCAATCCATTGCCAAGTACCAGGCCTCGCGCTAGGCAGCTATAAGCCAATCTTGCTGGGCATTCTCTAATCCTTATAGCGATGGCCTCCAACTAATAGCGATGGCCTCCAACCTACTAGCGATGTTTCAACCATGTTTGTTTGTTTGCACTTGTTCTTTCCATTTCTTTGCCCAAAAAGGCTGGTGAAAGAATTGGAATCGTTGGCCGAACAGGCAAGCTCCAAGCGCAGCCGGTTTTGTGAAGACTCCTACACCACTCACCTCGCACTCAAAAAACTGTAATTGTATCTGGAAGATTCTGGAAGCAAATTGATACATTTTCTGGTTTTTACCCGCACGTATTCTTCCCCATAATCACTTTGTGGCTGGCTTTTGTGATTTGTGACCTTCTTCTACTTCCTTTGTTTTTAGCATAAAACTATTCGAAGGATCGTGTGTTGATTCCGCTTTTGTTCGGCTAGGGGCTAGTGGCTAGTGGGTAGGCCGTGAGGGGAAAAAGGATGGAAGGTTACGAAGTAACTGAGTTGCGCATAGTTGCGCCGCCGTGCTTGCCGGGGTGACGCCTTCCAAGTTCTTGCTGGCTCAGAGCAAACGGACCCCCAGGACCACAAATTCCACAGTAGTTGGCAACGACTCTTTTAGACTCTGTTAGACTTATAATGACTTACAGTAACAAGAAGCTATTAGTAACAGGTGCCACGCTAGTAGTAACAAGTGCCTTGCTAGTAGTAACAAGAAGCTACTAGAAACAATATAAGTTAGGTTTGTAGAGCCATTGTGATTTGTGGCGAAGCGCAGGCTGTGGAAAGTCGTCCTTCCTCTCAACATTCCTTCGGCTGGTCGAACTCGAGGACCGTGGGGTTCTGCGGGGTTGCTCCTAGTAGTGATGCCATGAGCCCCTAGTAGCTTCTTGTTACTACTAGTAAGGCACTTGTTACTAGTAGCGATGCACTTGTTCCTAATAGCTTCTTGCTCCCAGTAGTAAGGCCAGGAGCCCCGTTCGTAGCGTCGTTGCTCCTAGCGCAGACTTGAGCCAAAGACCCAAAGAACAGAAGCATCCTGCCTCGTTTCGTTCGGGAACAGCGCTCGTGTTGCGTTGGAAATTGCCTGTGACCATCTCTCTGAAAGTATGGAATTCAGGGGAAAGGTCATGTGAATTTGCTGTTTGATATCGTGGTGTTTGTTTCAAGCGATGCTTTGTGAATTGATGCGTCATGTGTCATGCCATGAAGTTGATGTCTTCGTGATGTGGCGAAATGTTTGTGACGTTGCAGTGGAAGCGTGCAGTAGTCTGTGTAGTATTGGAACCATTGCTTCCAGGTTGGAGGCCATTGCATCAAAAGGCTTACGTGTTCAATTTGTGTCACTAAGCCCCTGCTCCGCGAACTGCCCGCCTAAGCAATCAAACTGCTCCACCCTTCCAACAACCACATTGAAAAAGGCGCAAAGAAAGGACGACTTTGCAGTTGGATGCATTTTTTTGTGCAATCAGTGGAAACAGCGCAGCGCTTTCTCTGAGTTCTGCTTGTGTTCAGGAGGGTCGCATTACAGTGGATGGTGTGGACATCAGCAAAATCGGTTTGCACGATCTTCGAGAGAAGGCACTTTGATGCGCTTTGTACGTTTTCATGGTCAAATGGCCCCACTCTGCTCAGCTGTTTGACCATCGAAACCTCAGGTGGCGATGATTCCTCAGGCACATGTTGTGGGGTTGAACGGGTCAACATTTTTGCCTTTGCCACTCCAGACTAGAGGCAATAGAAATCCGGGAGAACAGACCGCACAAACAATTGAACCATGCCATTGTTTCCTTGAGAGCTTCTATGGCCAGGACCCTGCGATTCTCACTGGCAGCGTGGTTGCCTGAGGTTCCACAGGTGTTTGATGTTTCTGGGAGCTATGTTGAACAACTCAAAGGATTCATCACTTGAAATAAGAAGTAACAAGAAACTACTAGGAGAAAAGGGCGTCGCCACTAGGAACAAGAAGCAACTAGTAACTGTTCAGTTTAGTTTTTGAGTTGGCCACCTTGGTAACTCGCTCCTTGAAGGGGGTATTCGCAATTTCGCGAGGTCCATTGGTCCATGTGCCCTTGTCAATTGATAGCTTTTTAACTTTTTGATATGGTTCATGGGTGCGCCCTTGTTACTAGTAGTAAGGCCAGGAGCTACTAGCGTCCTTGCTCCTAGTAGCGATGCCACGAGCCCCTAGTAGCTTCTTGCTACTAGTAGCTTTTTGATATGGTTCATAGGTCTACAGTAGACCGTCTACTTGCTAGGTTGGAGGCCATCGATATGTCTACTTCTCCAGTGGTTTCAACTGGGTTCCGATCAGCCGGGTCTAATCTCGGTTCGATGTTCAACTGGGTCAGCTGGGCCAACCGGGCTCGTATTTGCTGGTCTCCTAGCAGCTTCTTGCTAGTAGTAAGGCCAGGAGCTACTAGCGTCCTTGCTCCTAGTAACGATGCCACGAGCCCCTAGTAGCTTCTTGCTACTAGTAGCTTTTTGATATGGTTCATAGGCTTTCTCCTAGTAGCGAGGCCAGGAGCCCCTAGTAGCGTCCTTGCTACTGTTGGAGCTAGTTTTCTGTCGCAGTTGCGCTTGGAGATGGATTCAAGGTTAGGTTCAACCTGGACCCATTCGGAGACAAAACGGATCAGGAGCGTTTGCAGAACCATCGCTATTGAACAACATGTTTCATGGAATGAGCATGACAATTGACAAATACATAGATGTTTTCTCTCTATGAGGTTGGAGGTCGTTGCTCTTAGGTTGACTATTTTCCATTGTCTTTTTGCACAAAAATGAAGACTACGAGACTGTGAAAGATGGAATCCAGGAGCTTTGGGAGGCATTGGATGCAGAATGTGCATGGCATGGGATGCATGATGTGCACAAATGTTGGTCTCGTCATGTGTGTGTGAGAGTGAAAATGACAGGTAATAGAAAAGTCTCAACTGAAGCCAAGACCTCAAAGTATCTTGCGAGACTGAGTTGCTAGCCAAGCTATATAGATTCTTTCGCTTTCTGCAAACTCATTTTCCAGATGTGTTTCTTTTGCAAAGGCCTCGCATCGACAGTGCAGGTGGACTGGATAGCAAGGTGAGAGTTTCAGCATGGTTCGATTACTTGGCGACGATTTCTTACCTGATAAACATGACATGGATGATGCAAGCACCAGGGGCTCCTGGCATCGCTACTAGGAACAAGAAGCTGTTAGAAACATGACATGGATTTTGGGAGCCCCTAGTAGCGTCCTTGCTCCTATATTATTCTGCAAGCACTCTCGTGAGTTTTTGCGATGTTACATTCAAGCAACGATACGTCTCTTACAGTTGCAACTTTGCAATCGCTTCAGGTTGAGGAAGGTGGCGGCAATTATTCAGTTGGAGAATTGCAGCTCCTTTGCCTCGCTCGTGCTTTGCTGCGGCGTCAGGACGGTGAGACCGTGTTCAGTAAGAAAAGCGAGGAACAAAAGTAGACACAAGAATGCTAGTTCGCACCTTAGCTGTTTCACATCATTTTTTTTGCAAGAACGCTAGTTGAAAGTGCCACCTACGAAAAGCCATGCTGCGGCATGAGTTTGCATGATCCCTGCCACGACTCCATTTGCAGCGCATGCACTGTTTCACGCGTTATACAGAGTTGAGGGTACCCCCGCAGTTGTTGTCTCATCAAATTCGAGTGAAAAACCCTGCACTATTGCCATTGACATCCTGATCATGCGGAAATGAATATTTTTCCATGTTTTTCCTCATCCGTTGCTTGAAACATGGCCGCTTCTGTGGCGCTGTCATCGACAAACAAGACCAGGGAGTTGCCTCAAGGAACCAAGCTGGGACAATCTAGGAACGGAACCAAACTTCATGAAGTAGGCGCCTACTAGCGATGGCCTCCAACCTAATGGCGATGGCGCCTACTTGATGAAGTAGGGGGTCGGCAAAAAGAGTGGGACCACTTCTTTGACGACTTCGTTTAATAGCAGCAAAGGGCATTACTACTAGGGGCTCCTGGCCTTTCTACTAGGAACACAGGCGCTACTAGGAGCAAAGGGCATCGCTACGAACGGAGCAAGGACGCTCACTTCAGCCCTTCGGCTTTGTCGACTTCCGCTCCGGACTAGCTTGGAGCTGCATGCGTTTTTCCCGCATCGTTTCCAGGAGTCTGGTGGTTTGTTGCTGCTTGACGAGGACGACTGAGCTGATACTTGTTGTAAAAGCAAACAAAACAAAAGCAAGAAAGAATACAAAGCTTCTTGATTTAAAAACACGTCTCTTTTGCTACTTTCTTTTTTAGACCTTTTAGACCCTTGAACAATGCTGTCAAGTTGAGAAGTGAGTTCTAGATTTGCGGGAGAGGCGACAAGTGCTTTGGATGCAGAGACCGACCAAACAATTCAGAAGGCCCTGCCGAATTGGTCATTTGAGTCATGTATGTTTCACCATGTTTCAACATTCCATACAAAGTGCATCGCTACTAGTAACAAGTGCCTTACTAGTAGTAGCAAGTGCCTTACTAATACTAACAAGAAAGCAATTAGAAACAAGAAGCTAGTAGTAACAAGTGCATCGCTTCTAGTAACAAGTGCCTTACTACTAGTAACAAGAAAGCAATTAGAAACTGTTTCAACAGTCCATAATTGCACGATTGAAATGCGTGAGGTGATCCGGTCTGACTTCAAGTGCACGATCATTACGATTGCCCACCGAATCCAGACATTGTAGCCCTGGCTTTATTCAATTTGATTCAACTTAATTTTCAACCCAATAGCCAATAGCAATAACCTAAGCAATCTCCAACTAATAGCAATGGCCTCTACCCTAGTAGCAATGGCCTCCAACCTTATAGCAATGGCCTCCAAACCCAGAGTGCCCAAACCCTTTAGAAGCGACTTGCCAGGATGGACTATGACAAGGTTGCAGTGTTCGAGGGTGGCAAAGTCGTAGAGTTCGATCCGCCCCAGGTGCGCAGAAGGTTCTCGCGAAAGGCTGTTCGGTGAAAGGTCGTTTCAGCTTGTTCCTAGTAGCGATGCCCTTTGCTCCTAGTAGCTTCTTGTTCCTAGTAGTAAGGCCAGGAGCCCCTAGTAGCGTCCTTGTTACTACTAGTAAGGCACCTGTTACTACTAGCGTGGCACTTGTTTCTAATAGCTTCTTGTTTCTAATAGCTTCTTGTTACTACTAGTAAGGCACTTGTTACTAGTAGCGATGCACTTGTTCCTAGTAGCGTCCTTGCTCCTAGTGGCGTTTGCCTTGCAAAAATGTTTTCAGGGCAGAGGGTTAAGCAATGATACTAAATGAACAGGGCGCGGTGGGGTTGCGAGTTGCACCTTCTTTTCATCCATCCTCTTCCTGATTGTCATTTTCATCGGGAGGGCAATTTTTCTGGGTATTTCTTTCTGTGCTTAAAACTTGTTGATTGATTCCTTCCTGTCTTTCCACTTCTTGCTTCTCGTTTTCTGCTTCTTCGCTTCTTTGCTTTCCTGCGTTTCTGCTTCTTTGCATTTCGGTTTCCTTTCAGTGTTTTTTGCTGTTCTGCTTTTCTGCTTGTTTGCTGTTTGTTTGCTTTTCTGCTTCTCTGCTTTTCTGGTTCCTTCCAGCTGTCCGCCTCTCTCCTTTTCTACTTGCTCTTTTTAGCTTTTCTGCTGGTTTGTTGTTCTCTTTCTGTGCTTTTCTCCTTTTCAGGTGTTTTGCATGTCTTTTTCTCTAAGCTTTTGCGCCTTTCTGCTTCTCGGCTTTGCTTGCTTTTCTGGGTGTTGTCTTCTTTGCTTTTCTGCTTGTTTGGTGTTCATTCTGCCTCTTTGCTGTTTCTGCTTTTTGTTTCTTTTGTTGTGTATTGATTTTTCTGAGCAAGAAGCTGAAGAAAGCAAAGGAGGATGCCAGGAAGCAAGGATTCAAGACAAAAAACCAAGCAGAGCGCAAGGGCCAGAAAGCAGCACCACGGCAGCAAGCCACACAAACAAATGGGAGCAGTTCCAAACGACTGCGGATCATAGTCAGCAGCTTCACCTGTACACCACTGGCGGATGCGGCAAACGCATGGCCAACACATTCCAAAACACTTGAAGCAATAACACTTTCGCTACTAGGGGCTCCTGGCCTTACTACTAGTAGCAAGGACGCTACTAGGGGCTCCTGGCATCGCTACTAGGGGCAAGAAGCTACTAGTAGCTCCTGGCAATACTAGTTTTCTTTTTTTTCAATTAATCATGTAAAGAGATCGGGTAGCAGAGTTTCTCATTCCATGTGCGCTGAGTGCGCTTGCGGTACTCACTACGAACGCTAACATTCACGTGTGCACAGCTTTCAGGAGCTGATGAAGAAGCAGTCCAAGTTTCAAGCTCTTGCCAAAGACGGTGGTGCAATGTAACACTGAGCCACGAGCTTGAACTTTCCGAGTTTGATCCACTTTCGTTACCTTTTCGCTGAGCGTTGCTTGGCCATTTGTAAACATGTTTGATCGGACTGTGAATTGCAGTTCGTATCTAATGTTTTGACCCGACTTCCTTTCCAGACTGAATTATCGTAAAGAATGCAGAGCACATTGTGGGGGCCGAATGGACCTAACTCACAAGTGCTTGGATTCAATTGATTGGAACAGAAAAGATATATAGTCAAAACGCTCTTTGTGAAAGACTAGGTAGTCCAAACCAAGTCTAATTTTAAGTGCGCTCGAGGTTATCGGGGAAAAAACACGGAAGTGAAAGCATGAACCTTCTTTTGCTGCGTTGCCTTCGGTCTGACTCGAGCGGCGGTATGGCCTGGTTTGTGGGCCACAAACTCACACCAAAAGCTTCACGGTGAGCGTATGCTCTGCACTTCAAACATAGAATTAGGTTCCACCACTGGAACCTAGCGGTCGTCGATGAGCCGGGATCACCCGATTCACACACAGCCCACAGTACTCGTAGTCACAGACTTCTGTTGACTGTGATAATGATGAACATTGGTGGTCCAGGTGAAATTTCCGCCCCTGTCTTGTCACACACACTGGGAGTGGTATTCCTCCGATGTGGTCGGTCAAGTATGCCGTTTGTTGTGTCACTTCTGCTAGGTCTTGCTCCAGCTGTCGAAACAATCGCTGTTGCTCGTCTAGCCTTTCGTCTGTCTGGTTTTGCCGTATGTCTTTTGCTCTGATTTCTTCTTCAAGTTCTTTGCATCTTTCTTCAAATCTTTTATTATCTTTTCGCACTCTCTCCATGGCTTCATTTCTTCGTTTGATGAAGTCTTTGTATTGTGAGATTCTTGCTTCAAATCTGTTTGTCGTTTCTCCTCTTCTTTGTGGTTGTGCTTGCTTTTGCTGTTGTTTATCTGGTTCTGTTTGCATTTGTGTTTCTGTTAATATGGTTATATTATTCTGGACGTTGTCGCTAACACGCGTTTAACCAACATCATCGTAAACGATAACAATATAAATCCTAAATTGCTTTTACCATCATCGATTTATATTATTATATAATATATATAATATAATATACATGCGATATATATAATAAATAAACAATATATTTTATTAATATATGAATATATTAATAAATAATTAATTTAATTTTATATTTATTTAGAATTGAATTTTATTTATTTTTGATTTAATCTTAATTTAATATTAATTATATTTGTCACTCGGACACTGGTTGCGGAAAGCAAAGGACCGAGTGGAGGCTCGAAATTCACGAAGTTTTCGAACTCGTATTGTCGGACGGCACGCGAAGTCGCGCTCTTTTCGCTAAGCTATCGGCGTTAGGATCGATCGCCCACCGTTAGTGGTGGAAGGGGATATTTGGGCCATGTCGGCCACATTATGAAACATATGAACCACACATACTGACAAGTGGCTTGAAATGCCGTTAGTAATTTTACACCGGTAAAAGGTGCTTGAAACAAAAAAAATTCATTAGTTGTATTCTTAGTCGATTATCTACTCCTCGTTAGTCGATTATCTACTCCTCGTATGATAGGTTGCTATAGTCGCGCCTCTAGGATATCATGTCTTCCTGGAGGGTGGTGCCGCTTAAGCCATTGACTCGGTGAGGAGTCTGAGGAGTAGGGTTGTAAAAAGCGCAACAAGGACGTCGATTAACTCTGAGAGCCTGCTTTAGGCCGTGGTAATTAGCTCGGACGTGGAAGGTGTGATCGAAGGGCGTCACATGGGTGCCCGTGGTAAGAGGGCAATTTTTATCAAAATGGTCTAGGAGTTCCCGGTAGCAGCGCGATAGCAAAGCCTGACATTGTCGAAAGGAATGGTCGATTTCTTCGGCTTCTTGCTGTTCTAGGCGTCATTGTTCTATCATCTCGTTGTGATGCCGGCGGGTTTCCGCATTGGCCTCAGCAGCCTTCACCAAATCGTTTTCCAGCTGGGAGATGCGGCGGTCGAAGAACAGGCATTGGTCATCCAACGCACTGTCGAAGTGTCGTTCATTTCGAGCTTGGGTCACCCTCAACTTGACCTTTAGGTCGTTTACCTGTCGGCGGTGTTCATGAAATCTGCCCAGCTTGTAGGTCAGGTAGCTCACAACGAGGGTGGTGAAGAGGATGAAGAGGAACAAATAGGTCAAAATGGACCATTCCTTAGCAGGCTCATCGCCAGCCAAACAAAGACCGTCTGGCTTCAACTGCGTGAAGTCATCTGTGGACTCTGCCGTAACAGCCTTGATTTGTGTGAAGTAGATCATCATTGCCATTGGGGTTCTCAAGGACTTGGAACTCGGTCATGATGTAGGTCCAGTGTCGGCGGCTTCATCCTGCAAGGCATTCTCATCCTCAAGGCTCGACTCTTCCTGCACACTTTCAAGGTGTTCGGTGGAGTTGAGGTGGTGTTGTTGTGGTTTGTGTTGTTTCGTGTTGGTTTTCTTCTTCACTTTTGCGTCGGCGAACTCTTGCCGACTTTCTTCACGTTCTTGTTTGCTCTTTTTCTTGGCCGATGTGTACTGAGGATCCCAGGCCAGCTTGATGCGGTGTCGCCTCAAGCGATCAGCCAGCAGGCTTCTTGTAGAGCTCTTTGTCAAACCATCAGCGAATTGTCTTTCGCTGCTGACCCATTTCAGACAACCTTCAAGGTCAGTTGTCTGTTGCTTAGCCACCTTGATCTCGAGGTAGGTGCGCTTGTCCACTGAAGAACTTGCGGAAGTGGTGGTCTCTTTATGCCATGCATCGTAGAGAGCTTTTGCGTCGGTGACCAAAGTTGGTCGTAGAGCTGAACCTTCTTGTAGTCGTTCACGAAGCTTGGGCCTTGGGTCAAAAATGATTGACCAGAACCTGCAGATGTATTCAGCACTGTCACTGGCGCCACCAGCTGCTTGAGCCTCTGCACTCAAACTGGAACGTGCGACTCGGGGCAGTTTGTAGCTGCGCCAATCAACCACATGGTATGGGGTCTCCTTTTCAAAGACCTCTTCAGGGACCAGAATCGCCAGGTGTCCTCCTTGAGAGGTGTAGTCCTCCCGGGCTGCATGAAAGGCATCAAACATCACCACCAGGCGGATCTTAGAGAGGTCGGAGTGGTTGCTGACAGATTCAAATGGTTCATACTTCAGGGTCACATCTGCTTGTTCCTTGGCGAACTTGAGAAGGGCATTTGCTTCCATGATTGCACGAAGCTTGCCAGTGCGCTGTTGTCCACTAATCAAACTGCAGCTAGCCTGTAGATGAGGTTGTGACTGGACTGAGGGCCATTGCAAACTTCCGAGGAGGGCTCGTAGCTGTCCTCGATCATGTTCATTCATCGGATCTTCAGGGCCACGTCCTCGATGAACAGTCACAGGTTTCACTTTGTGCAAGAAGTGGCTTTGTGACAGGTTCCAGGTGAAGTCTTTTCGGTTGTGGATCACACCGCAATACTCCATGGGTTCATGATCTTCTTGCCAACTTCTAAACTCAAAAACTTCTTTCAGGCGTCGTTCAGCTGCGATGTAGGTGGCACAGCCGCGGTCACCAGCTCCAAGCATGTCGTCCACGTGAAGTGCTATCAGGCCACAAGGAACAGAGGAGCCATCTTCATGATGATGATGAAGTACAAAAAGGCATGGATCAAGGTCATGTGGTGTCCACCCTTCCTGTGTCAGTCTTCTCGTGGCTTCTTGCCACCAACGACGAGGGGCGTCCAACTGTCCGTAGACGGGCTTGATCAAATCCATGCGGGTTTCAGGACCGCAACCAAGGATGTGGAGGCAATCATTTGGAAGTCGGAGCCACAGCTGCCTCTGTTGAGGTAGTCCTTGAAGAAATGCTGTGGCCACGTCGGCGGACCATCCACTCCATCTCAACATGGCAGAGATGGAGAGTAGCAGGTTGCGAGCCAATCTGGATGCCGTAGGCGATTGGGTGTCCAAATTGCCAGCTAAGGCATCGGCATCATTGTAACCACGAACAACCAATCGGGCCTTAGCCCTGGGAGTGCCATCAGGATTCTTCGCCCATTTCAGCAGCATTCGGCTTGACAGGGTTCGATCTGCAACAGCCTTGTCTGAGGTAGTGAATTCCCAGACACCACATTCGAAGAAGCTGCGAAGCTCTTTGCACTTGGCCTCAAAGAACAGCTGTTGTTCTGCTTGTGTGAGGTTCTTTTCTTTGATTTCCGACTTGCTTTTCTCTTTCTTGATGTGTCGGAGCTGCTGGTTCTTCATGTGCTGAGCGGCCTTTCGGATGGGCTTCACGGATGTGGGAGAGCTAGAGGACAAGGTTGCAGTCATTCCAAGTTCCATGCGAGTCACGGCATTGATCTGAAAGATCGTGCATCCAACCCACTTTGGAGGTAGACCTTTGGCGGCTTCTTTGGAGTGTCTCTTGAACACGTTCTCCGTCTTGAAGTGGTCGGTGGTCGCCGAAGGTTCTTGTCCTGGCTCACGAAAGATGGTGACTCTGACATCATCAAGTTTCTCCAAGGGCACTGGAAGATCTGCCTGATCGCCTGGAAGAAATTTCTTTGACCGTGGTCGTACGTGATGGCGAATAAGGCATCCACCCTTGACTTCCCAGAAGTCAGCTAACTTTTGTTTGAGCTCCAGGGAGTTGTTGTTCTTGTTAAAGGTCCAGCCATGAGGAAGGTTGGCCGTGTCAATGTCCTGGACTTCAAACACCATTTCACCAGTTTCGTGAGGAGGCCTTGCGTAAGGGCTTGGTTGCTCATGATGCCGTGGTCGTCTTGGACCAAAGGACAGGGTTTCCTGCTTGTCAAGTCGAAATCGTTGCTGTTCGAAGGTCTCAGGGGCAACTGGAGTCCTGTAGGCCTCTGACGTCACCGGGTCAAGGTTCATCGGAGTTGCAGGAACACTTGGAGGCTCAGGCTCAATCGAAGGTTCCGGCTGATCGGACGTCTCATCCAGGTGTTCAGGAACAGCCGGTAAAAGGTGTTCTGGTACTGCTGGATGTTCTGGAGGTTCAGGAGCCGTGGAGGCAGCAGGAGCAGCGGCTGGGAACGATGGATTTCCCGAAGTGTCAACTTCATCAGTAGGTTCCGCTGGCTCTGAGGGAGTGTAGTCCTCCAGGGAGTCATCGATTGCTGCGTCGAGTCGGCGACGTTTCTGATCTGGGCCTTCATCCGGAGACATCTCTTCTTCATGTTCTTCAACATCTAGCAAGTCTTGCTTGTTGGCCCTGCTCAGATCGAGAAATCTGGTCACGCCTCTTGACTTCAGTGCCTGAAGTGTGGATGCAGCATCTTTCAAGTTCTCAACAGCGGTCTCTTCGATGGCAGTGAAGTCTGGTCGAACGTGATGTGGTGCAGCTCGAATGAGTTGTGTCTTGTGAGCCAACCAATACACATGAGGGCTGCCGTCTTTTTCTTCGACACAGACGACCTTTGCCGGCCCGCGCCATCGAATCTTGCACAGCTCATGTTGTTGTGCATCTCGCCAGTAGAAACATCTTTGGCCAGCTAGCAACCGTTGATTGACGCCAGAGTAGCGTCGAAGGAGAGCTCGTCTCAGCTTCCGATCAGTCTCCGCCTGGAGGATTGCAGTCTTGGCCACATTGCGCTGGTGCAAATGCTTCTCGAAGGTCTCGTGTTCGTGCAGGGCGCAAGAACTGGACTGCAGTAGACCAGGTTGAGCAGGTTGATAGCCAAGAACCCATTGAGTCGGCGAGAATCCTGCAACTGTGGGCTGAGCATTGAGTTGAGGCAGGATGTAAGTCAAAGTTTGGCGAATGCCTTCTCTTCCTTCCAACTTCAGGTCGTGCATGTAGACCTCAATGGCCTTTCTCAAGACTGCATGCCTTCGTTCAACTTGGCCAAGTCGTTGGTGTGCTTCACCAGGAGCAACTTTATGGCTGATGCTGTGGCTGTCGGACCACTCCATGAACTCATTGCTAAGCCAGCCGCGACCTTCATCAGTCACCAACTCTTCTGGGACACCGAAATGAGCAATCCAATGTCGCTCAAGAGAAAGGATGTAGTCCTGGGTCTGCTCGGTCTGAACCTGACATGCCGTCTGGTACTTCGTAGCACTATCCAAGATGGCCATGATCGGCCACTTCTTCTTGTCGGTGCGGATCCAGAAGACATCAGCTTGGATGGACTGATTGAAGCGGTCGGCCTTCTGCACGTTGGCTGGTGCAGGTTGATTTGGTTTCTTGTAGCGCAAACATGAGCTGCAGAGGTAGTTCTCAGCCACGGACAAAACATCAGTCGACGCGCCTCTGGCTTGAAGGAGATCGACCAGGGCTTGAGCAGAAGGATGACCAAGGTTTCGGTGGAGCTTCTGAACAACTCGTAGAGCATTCTGCTTGCCTTCTGCGTGAAGATCAACGATCTTGCCCAGGTATTGCGACTGCTCACGAACCGCGAAGGAGCCTTCCCAGAGTTGAGGCTTCTCTGAACAGGCCAATGAAGTAGCCAGTGTGGATGCGAAGGCGGGCTGGTACTCCTCCATGAATGAGGTTCGATGAGTGCCATGTCCCTTCATGTAGCCTTCCAGTCGACAATGTTCATGATCACCTGAGCATAGCCGGTTCATCGTTTCTGCAATGGAGCGCTTGGTCGTGAGAATGGTGGTGTCTTTTCTTGCTGGCTTCCATGCTCCATCAACATCCATGCACATAGCACCATACTGACATTCATGATGTCGTGCTCGATAGCCAGGCAAGGAGTGAAGCGCTGCTGTGTCCCAAGACAATGCAGAAGTTGGCTGCTCAATGTGTCCATGTCGTCCTGAGTGCAACTGCTTCAAATAGACTCGCTTGCAGAACTGAAGGTGGGTCCTGTGGCGCCATTCTCGAAGACCTCGAAGTACTTCTTTTCTCTGCTCAGAGGTTGCAGAGATGTTCTGCATGCGTGACCATGGACCGCAGCTGGGAGACAGGTAGATCTCGTCCGGCATCTCTTGATCTTGTAGTTCCAGGAAGGCGCGTTGATGCGACTGGAGCGCGAAGTTCCATCCTGTCTCAAAGCCGAACGTTTTGACGGTCATGCCAATTGCTTCAGCCACCTGCGACAATCGAGCTCTTCCGGTATAAACTTCCCATAGGACACGAGGAGGAGCTCGATGTTCTTGTCTGATGGCCTCATCAACCAAGGCGTTCATCGACCTCAGCTGGGCTTGGGTGTGCATGACCAAGGTCTTCCAGTGTTTGGTGGTCATAGGAGACGTGTCCTCTGATGGCATCTGTTCTTCAACGTGGTAGAGGTGCTCTTCCATCAAAAAGTCTTCCATGGAGCCAGGGTCGCCCAGTTTCTCATCAAGCTGAAGGTCGAAGGAGGGTTCCCACGTCAGCTGCTCGGTCTCAAACGAGGACGTGAGGTCAAGGAGGTACTCCGCGTGGCGACCGAGAACTGCATCTTGCCAGTCAGCGTCACCAAACTTGACTTTCTGCTGGGAGAAGTCGATGGTCATGTCCAAGGCGCGAATCACGGGTCTTCCAACCAACATAGGAGTTTCACCAGACAAGACGAAGCCTTGGATCAGTCCATGTTGTCCATTCAGGTAGACTGGCACTTTGGCTACCCAAAAACTGACCTTCTGGTGGTCACCACCGAAGTGAAAAACTCGATGGCAACGCTGCAGTTGGAGCTTGTCAGTGTCATAGCCCAATTGCCGGAGGTGGTTGACATAGCGGACCAAGGGACCTGATCCCATCAAGAACGATGAAGCGCCAGGGTCCAACATAGCACAGTCGGGGCGTTCATGGCCAAAGGAGTCCTCGAGCATAACCAAGGTCGTTTCGTCTTGCATGATGGCCATTCCTTCAACTGCTTGGCGCTTGCCGCTTGTCGTAGTTGCCGGTTTAGGCGTAGAGCTCGTCTGTGTGCATTGAGCTGTCTTGTGGAACGTTGAACCACATCGCATACATGCTGGAGCCATTGCTGCACGAGCTCGTCCTTTTGGATCTGCAGGCTTTCCAGGAGGTCGGTCATAGCGATAGGTGCTGCTCTTTCCTTTTCCTTTGCCTTTTCCTTTCTTCCCTTTTCCCATGCCTTTGAAAGGCTTTTGCGAGGAGGTGGAACTCGATGAAGGGCCGGAGTCCTGGAGAGCCACCACAGGAAGGAATCCTCTGCTGAGCTTCAAATCATTGAAGCGTTTGCGAGCATCAACGTATGAAGCATAGGCCTCATCGTACTCTTCGGTGTCAAACTCATGCTCGTGTTCATCAGGTTCTTCCTGGTAGTAGGCGGCATCGGCATCGAATGACTCCCACCACTGGTCATCATAGTTCTCTTCATCATCCATGTAGTAGGCATTATCTTCCTCCTCATAGGTCGGGGCGTTGTCATCCCATTCGAAAAAGGATTCGGAGTCATCGCCAGCAAAGTATGAACGGCTCTTGCCGGATCCAGCACGGTTCCAGCGGTCTCTGAGGAGCTGACCGCCACCTTTGTAGTCTTGGCCGAGGATGGCAAACATCGCTTGCTGAATCTTGGCTCGTTCAAGTGAGGCGGCCTGTGTCATGATCATCTGCTTTTGCTCACGTGTCAGGGCGGCCTTAGTCAGGAGGAACCACCCTTGGATTTGTGTCGGTAGTCGAACACCATGCTTCTCGATTTGCTTCAGCCGGTCATCGTGGTCCGTCACATAGTTCAACAAGGTCTGACCTGGCTTGCGAGCCAAATGCTCAAAGTAGGACGAGAAGTCGGCAGGCATCTCGACATTGGCGTCATACTGGAAGGAACCGTCCAAGATCTTCAAGATCTCTTGGAGAGCTTCTGGGTCTTCTGCCTTATCCAGGTTGAAGTCTTCGCACAACTTCCACGCTGTTCCTGAGAGGCTGCCCAGCAGGTTCAAGATCGCTTCGCCCTGCCGTTTTGACAGGGACATTTTTCTGTAGTAGATCAAGATTCTTTTCCGCCATTCGCGGTATCCCGTCAGGGAGCCATCGAAGAGCGGGATGAAACTATCCCGGGCCGAGTGGTTGTCGAACTCGACCTTCTTTTCCGTGGTAGTGGTAGAAGCCATACTTCAGGTTGAAGGAGGTGTCACCACAAATGCTGTAGAGCTCGTCAGGGTCAAAGAGCTCTGGTGGGAGCGAGTGCGGTAGGACTCAGCAAGGTCAAAGAGCTCTGGTGTAAGCACTGCTCCTGAGCGTGAAGAAGATGACAAGGTTGTTGGTGCAGTTTCCGTGGAAGGTGAAGTGGGCTTTGAAGGTGGATATGATGTAGTGTTGCGGAGATCGGCAGGGAGCTACCCGGAGCGTGGTAGCTCCGCTACCAATGTCACTCGGACACTGGTTGCGGAAAGCAAAGGACCGAGTGGAGGCTCGAAACTCACGAAGTTCTCGAACTCGTACTGTCGGGCGGCACGCGAAGTCGCGCCCTTTTCGCTAAGCCATCGGCGTCAGGATCGATCGCCCACCGCTAATGGTGGAAGGGGATATTTGGGCCATGTCGGCCACATCATGAAACATATGAACCACACATACTGACAAGTGGCTTGAAATGCCGTCAGCAATTTCCCAATATTTATTTAATATATATATATATATATTTGTATTTGAAAACCCACACGGCATTACGCTTTTTTTTGGGGCATAAAGAGGGCTTATTTGATTAAAAATAAGTGTCCTATAGTGCATTTTCCCTCCGTGGTTTCGTTTTGATTTGCTTCTTTTAGCATCCTATAGGCGTTGATTGCTTCTTGTTGTAAGCCTGGGGGCGGCCGTGGGCTTTGCGCCATCGCTTTCGGCTGTTGTCTACTTCCACCTTGTGGATGTTGATCTTGGCATGCCGATGCTGCACTTCCTAAGTTGCCATCTGCTTGCACCCTTGTAGAGTCTGGGGTCGACTAGTCCGTCGTGACCGTAGGAAGCGTTGACGAGATCGTGCCACTTCCACTTGATCCCCCTTCTGGTACTGCCGTTGCAATGTAACACGGCGTTCTAAGGTCAATTGTAATTGAGGAACTTCAGCATCTGGTTGCTGCTCCATCATGATGACCTGCTTCATCAGGTCGTTCCGATGGAATATGCGGTTTCCGACCTGCACCCAATAAATGGGTTCAGATCCAGGTGGTCTCTCCCAATCTCGCTCTGAGTTTGTCAGTGCCTGCAGCGCCAACCTCAGCCCCTCTGGAAGTCCCGTCCATCGCTCCATGGGCGGCATGGGAGGAGGGGGTTTCCCAAT